ATGTGTATTACTTGTATTAGACCTACTTTCAGTTAAAAATTTAATAAAAATGAAACATACCACAGAATTTAGCAATAAAACATCAAAATCAATAGGTTTGTTCTTTTATTACTAATTGACCGATTTCGTACTGTTCATTTGCAAATCAATTTTTAAATTTATTTTATAGCCGACACAGGAATCATGCATTCTCAATTAACAGGTTCAACAGAAACCTATTTAAATTCATTGTTCCGCACATCTACATCTGCTCGATCGGGAATATCAGTATCTTCATCTGATGCTACAAAAAATGTCAAAAACATAAAATTTGAACCTACATTAAACTATTTAGCATCACTTTTTCGATCCCAGACATCGGTGCACACATCAGCATTAAGATTAGCATCTACATCAATACCACTCAAAATAATATCTTTGAACACAGCTTCAACGCCAAATACCTTTACAACTTCCAACGGTTCTGTACGACCAGTAAGCATAACTTGTTGGTATTTTAACAGAAGATTTATAAAAACGGAATTACTGAGAAAATTATGATCTGTTTGAATTTTTTCAACGTGAGCCTGAAATTTTTAGAACATCACAAGTAACACAGCGATAGCTGAGAAAACTAACGTCCAAACTATCGAAGAAACGTACCTTACAGAGTCCAGTTTCAATGCTATTGGCGAAGAAACGGACACAATGTTATTGCCAGCGAATATACCGGATATTGGTCGAGCAGGTAACCGAATCCAACTGTTGAAAACAATGTAAAGAGTGGTCTGCGTTTTTTTCTATTATTAACCGATATAATGTGTTGAATTTATGCAAAAACCGTTTCAGATGACCAATATTTGGAAAATATTGCTGCGCAGTGTACAAGCGGTTTTGATGCCAGACGATTAGCTCTAATAGAAAGTCGTAACGATTTATTGTCAAAAGCTCCCGAAGAAATTGAAGGTAGGTTTTCTGCATTCTCAGATAACTACGCGGGATACAGTTTTCTTTTGTGTTACAGCATATGAGTTGAGTTATCGAACTAAAAGAGTAAGTTTATGCTTTTTAAATCATTTGATATTTGCCAATTTTTTTACTAGTTATGCACTCATTAATAACGTTCGATAGTATAGCATGAGACAACTACTATCATATTCTATGGATCTGATCGATAGAAAACGTTACAGACTATCAATATAACTGAAAAATTAAGAAAACTTCTTGAAATAGTATGCATAACTACTAAAACTCTTCCCATGTTAAAGAATGGCTTTAAAACTTGAGCATTAACAAATTTTATTTTTTGCTTACAATAAGTAAAAAGAGCTAAACGTTCTAATTGTGTTCTAATTAGTTTACTGCGTTTGATTTAGAAATTTTGGCTTATCCAAACTGATGCTGATCAGTTTGGTGTTGTTCCGCAAGCCGAAGATATTAGTTTAATAGATTACTTAGAAGATCATTCACAGTTGGTTTTATACCTTAAAAGATGGAACACAAGGATCAGCTGAGGTTCGGACCGAAGGTATTTGAACAACATAAATTATAAATATTTAAATACAGTTGATATATTGAATGTTCAGATATTCTGGATGAAACTTTAAATGCCTGTCGATATTCTATATCAGCTCAAAGACAAATTAACCA